TTCTAGGGATTTAAAATTTTTGAAATTGTTTAGCCATCTTTAAAACGTCGTCTAGACGATTTTTGTGTCGTTTGGGTAAGAGACGCTGTTGTGTCTGAAATTGTTAGCGGAAATTTATTTAATGATAAAAAAGTTGCGTGTAGTGAAAATTATTTAGTAAAACGCGTTGTGCGAGTTCACAAGTGAGAAAATAATAAAACTCTTTTGTATGCAGTTGTTTTTATTTTTTCACTTATTCTTATTTATTTTATCGCGCGAAAAAAATTATAATCGAACATTAGAATGGGAGAGTCTCTCGTGACTGCGTTAGGATTTATTCTTAAGAACCTCAGCATGTCATTAAATTACATGACAAATAAGTGCAATACGAAAGTACAAAGTCTGACCTCTTGTTCTCTCAAATTTTGTAAATTTTCCTTCACACAAAGGTGAGAAGAAGAAACGAAGAGAAATTGATCGATCGCTCCTCTTTGAAGTGTTCTACATCCTCATAATCATATGGATTGCGAAGGCACAAATTAGTGACAATGAGCGCCGCATTTCTCTTTTGTGACACATGTACGAGATCTTATCCATCGAGATCGTATCTACACCACCAGCGATAACTTTTCGCAGCGATAATATAATAAAACTCCATTTTATAAAAGCGGCTTGCTCCTTTTTAAAGTTTCGTGTTCGTCGTGGACGAATAATTGCGCTCTATTATTCAAAAAGTAGAAACGATTTTATACCGACTCGATTTTCTACCTATTTCACAAATGCAAAACATATACATACACACACACACACACGCACACGCACACGCACACACGCACGCACACACGCACGCACACACACACACACACACACACGTTTAATTCTTCGTTAAACTCTCGTGGAATCTGTAACGCCTGAAGCATACAAATATTATATATAAAAGGATTTCTACGCGGTCTCACATATATATTAACCAAAGTTAACGTTAATGGTATCTAAATATAGTCGATTCGCAATCTACAATGACTAAATATTCGACATAATTTTACGATATAATTGTACATATATATATACGAGTATTTTCCTGAAAGAAAATAACTGAAATCCACAAGTAATACCCGCAATTGTTAAGCGTAAGTCAGGATGAGAACTCTGTTATATGATGTAGACAAGAACGAATATACCACCGTCGTTTATATTAATTGAATACAATAAAACCAAATTTTAAGCAAGGTTTGTATATATACATCTCACTCTGTAATTGATTCGAAAATTTATGCGTGTTTAACTCAACCATTTTACACCCGAATTTCTCTCGAATATTTTATATGTTTGATTAGATGATATAATGAATTCTTTCTTTAAAAAATTTAGATATCTTTAACTAGAAAAAAGGTAACTGAATAAATGTATAATTTTCTAATTATTTATATTATTTGTAGAAATGTATGTGTGTTCTAGAGAGATGCCGTTTTAAATTTAAATTTTATTGTTCAAAGAGGATGTTTTTAAATCGAAAGTTCGAAATTTTATCTCACTTATTAAATTTCGGAACTATATATTACTTTTCGGGACATTGTCGAAATTTTGACTTGTCTGGACATTGATGCTTCATTTTTTAAATTTCGGTCTTATAATTTTTCGACATACTATTTCATGTCCCAAATCTCGGAAATTTAAATTTGATTATATATATAGATTTTTTCTCAGATATAATAAAAATCGAGGGTTTCATCACATAGAGACCTAAGGTATTATATAGGAATACTCTAATATCTCATTTAATATCTTATATTTTTAAATAAATATATAATATTTTAATATTTCATTTTAATTAATATCTTCATTATTTTTCAAAGAATTGGGGATACCCCTTAGCTCTGTTACGAAACCCTTTTATTGATATATATATTTTTTTTTTCAGTTATGGAGCAACTTTTTCTACTCACGGTTGCTTATATCTTTTTCTTCTTATAGATATATTTCATTCGTTTCGTGCAACATCAAATTTATTAGAGTTATGAAAATTTAATGGAACCCAAATCGCTACTCATCCTATCGACATATACATGTGTAGAATGGACTGCGCATATCACATGAAAATTGGTCTGCTTCATAGAAAAGGATAGAGCGCATGTGCGGCCAATATCTATCTCTTTCTATTTAACACCTTTCACTATTTTAGAAAGAGACAAAGATTGGCCCTGGCCGTACTCACGCTCTATTTCTTTTATTTTTGATGATCACATTTGGTACACCATTTAAATACGGATGGCGTAGTCCCATGCTATATGTCGATGACTCATCCGGATCGACTGCTATCTGTTATCCCGCGATCTCACGCACATTCCGTAGCGCTCTCTACCTGCCGTGTGCAGGATTAAATCGCGATCGCGTTTATATGGTCTTGCCTGGCCCTGCCCCCTGCCCGAGGATTCAAAAAAGAGCGAGAGAGAAAGAGAGAGAGAGAGAGAGAGAGAGAAAGAGAGAAGCAACGAAAGAGCGTAGAGAACGCACAACGCATCTGTGTTTTCGCATCAGGCTTTATTTCTCAACCCGAACGATTCTTCACATATTGTATTTTATCATAATTCCATTTCCTGTGTAATACACCGTGTAATAAGGCGACGAGAACGGATGCGGCGCGCGTTTTGCGCGCGTCGCGACGTCTGGACCGCGATAGACAGGTAATTGAACTGAGTTGAACCTGTTGAACGTATCGCACTGAAAATGTGAGATATTTCAGAGTGAGTGGACTCCGAGAACAAACCACACAGAATGGCCTTTCTATGTCCCGTACGCATACGTCGCGGAAAGAAGAAAAAACGTAAGTAAAGAATATAGGGAGAGAGAAAAGAGAGAGGAAGATCGAGGAATAGTGTATTAGTAGCAGCAGTCAGCAGTTTGATCGCGCAAGAGTCAGTTGTCATATCACATTCGGTTCTCTCGATCACCTGTTGCTTGGGACTAGTTATGCAGCTTCTAACTCAAATTCTTCTCAAAGAGGAGATCTAAGCTGAATTTAAGCATTGATTATTTGCAACTTTCTATCTTCTAAAATGCAAAATATTACATAAGAATATTAATTTTAAGTTATACAGTTATATTATCAAGCCTCCTGGACATATATAAATATATGAGATAATAAGTATAATTACTTTCAAAAAATGTATTTTATAAAAAAAATCATTGTATCTTTCTATTAAATTAATTTTAATCATTTTAGAAAGAGGTTTATTTTAGAAATAATTTTTTATTTTCATTTTGGAAATATTTAAAATTTTTGTGTATCTTATCGAAAAATGTAAGATATAAAAAAATTGTCTTTTTAAATTAAATCTTTTAAGTCGATCTATATGCAAAATTTATTTCTTGTAATCTTTAATTGTGAAATAGCTGGAGCACATAACTTTAATTTGGAGAAAGACTGTGTTGGAACAGGAGGCACAGGACTTGGTTTGAGTACTAGGGTATCATTGCCTCCTGGAAGGATAACTGGAAGTGCGAGTATCGAGACTCTCGTAAGGGTCGGCATTGAAAAGGAGAATGGACTTTCTCCGGACAGCAAAATGGTCATTGTACATGATTTTACTCCCTGCGTTGACGATGAACTTCAAGTCAAAAGGGGACAGGTTAGTGATTAATCCACAAAATTTTTCTCCGTTAGCTCTCTTTTACATTACTTTTATAACTACATTATAAATCACATATTATATATATATGGTATATTATCTTTTATTTTAATGTAATTTTCATAATATATGTGTAAGTGTTGCTTATCTAATCTAGTCTTCTCCACTCGTCATATTTTATTATTTTTTTCTCAAAATAATCTCTTAAAAATTACATAATAATAGAAAAAATCATATTCAGTAGGAAGGAATTCTACCAACATACATATCGAAACTCTTTTGCATTTTAGGTAGTGAATGTGCTTTACAGGGAAAACGATTGGGTATACGTTATAGCAGCTGATACGCGTATGGAAGGCTTTGTGCCGCATTCGTATTGCGCACCATACACGTCGCAGCTAGCGGAATTGACATTAGCTAATAACGTGAAAAAGAAGCTGCCGCGATCCAGCGAGAACGATTGCGATCTTCTTAGCACGGGCCGTTTGCAAGAGACGCAACAGACTGATACCGGGTCAGCATCAGATTGCGAAAGTTACACGCGAAATAATATTACCACCGCGGATCTCAACGTCAATCGCTCCAACATCACGCAATCTCAGAATTCCATACAGACTATATCATCCCAGCCAGATGTACATCCCTTCTTCAAGGTACTATATTCGACTGACTAAACATATAACTGCCCCTCACTTAATTTAATATTTTGCCAGGTATTAAAAAATTTAATCTCTAATAAAATTTATAAAAAGCTTTTTCTCTTAAATATATTAAAACTATTTAGTTGAAAAAATTTTCATGGTTAAATAAAATATTAGTAATTATAAATTAGGTATTTTTGTTTTGTGATACTCATTAATCTTATTTGACGAGGACGCATCGGCGAGAAACTACCTACTGTAATCTCATGCATCCGATAGGATCCATCGGCTGGAAGATACATTGTCCTTTACACATTCGTGGCGCGGGACGAGAATGACGTCAGTGTTGAGAGAGGTGAGTTTGTGACAGTGTTGAATCGCGATGATCCGGATTGGTTTTGGGTGCTACGACATTGCGACGGTAACGAGGGTTTTGTGCCGTCCGGTTTTGTTTATCCGGGTCACGTTCTTCATTCTTACACAACTACCACCACAACTGCCACTACTGCTACTACGAATACAGCGTCCACGGAGACTCATAGTCCAGGTTGGCTTTCTACTTAATTGTCAAATTATCTATAAATCTTGGCAAAATTACATTCTAGAAAATGTACATGTATATGTATATATCAACAAAGACTTAAGTGAAATTTTCAAATTTCTGACAGCTCCATTTGTTATCAATTTGTCTTCCAAATAATTATTAAATTTTGGGTTAACATTATTTATATTTTACAGGCAAAGTTATGATAAATAATATAACGGGAAGTGGAGAATCGCTACAACAGAAAGGAGCGCGGGATTTTCGGGACGAAACGACCGGCACAGAATTAGTGGTACTTTACGATTATAAGGCGCAGGCGCCGGATGATTTATCGGTAAAACGGGCCGATTGGATATACGCGGATCTGGGAAATCAAACGGTAGATGGCTGGCTTTGGGCTTATGCACCGAAGACTCGCAAATACGGTTTCATTCCTAAGGCGTATGCACGACCCCCTGCCATGACTAGCTTATGATTCGGGATATTAAAGATGAGAAGCCTGCTTTTACTTCTTTAAGTTGGCAATAATGTTGTTTTTATTTTTTTTTTCTATATTGTATATCGTCAAGAGTTAAAATCGAGTAATAACTACACAATTAATATTTTATTCAAATATCCACTTTCCATCAGAAAGTCCCAAGTAAGTAAATGAAAGGTAAATGTAATATTGATTGGTCTTAAAAGATAAACAAGAATTCGCGTGTTTACGGGACATGATTTACTCAGTCTTTTTATTTGATTTGCCCATTTTTCTTCTAATTTTGATATTGGCATGGGCATACATATTCTTGGAACAATAATACTTACAAGTTAAGGGACAAATGTATACTTTACGCGTTAATATATAACATTAGTTTAGTGTACAATAACATTTACATTAAGACTAGTACAACCAAAAGTGATATGGCTGATCAGTCCCTCATGGAGAACTATACAGTCGCCAGCCAAAAAGACATCGCGTGGACGTTGGGCAGCTCTCAGGGATGTTACGGGACCCGTGTAGGTAAGCGATCGAAATCCACGGTTCTCGATGCTGTCCACAGCCTGTCGGGGAAACCGGTCAAATACCATTACCCATCTTTTAAAGCACTCATTTTCGTCTTACGCACGCGAATTGACCCAGCTAGATATACCTGTATACTACATCGAAGTCTGTCAACTGTATCACCGATGTCTAATCCTGCAACCCAGGCAATGATCATATCCTTTTCACACTGGCCTTCTCCGCTGGCGTGCACCTCCTCGCAACACTCATAATTGTGATTGCTGTGCAAACGTGCAGCTAGTACTGGTAAAGGTAACCGATTCCGATACTTGGGGTTTATTTGATTACCACCGAATAGTCTCGCTGTAGAATGTCTTATTGTTGCAGAAATTTCGATTAGTTATTAGTTGAGAATAAGACTTGCTTATATAATCAATATGAATCAATTGGATATTTTAATATATTATTTGCACACAAATTCCTTTTTTTTTCTAATCCATCGCAAATCAAATTCTATTCACACATTTCGAGCGCGATATTTATTTTATAAGAAAACTTTTTGTAAGAAATATAGCCCCCCGCCCTCCCCAAACCAGATGCATCGTATTTTTGTGCGTGTAATATGTATATGATAAAGATACTAACGAGAGTTTGCCGGACACCAGTAAGAGAGCTAGACATCGACTGGAATTGCAGGAGAGAGCTCCGTAACTGACAATGAGCGTACTCTCTGCGCCGGGTTCGACGCTGAGGATAGGCACCTCGGGATGATCGAAGAGGAAATGATGGGTGAGCGCTGAGAAGGCGACATTCATCGAGCAGTCAAGACGCGGACAACGTATGGGTCTCCGGGAACATTCGACGGAGGACACTAGAGAAGAATTTTTGACCTTAATTTCAGAGGTATATCGATCCGTCGCGTCGTTTCTCCTCGTCGCTGTCATGTTGCGATAGCCAAGTTGCTGTTGGCATTTCCTTTCGTAGCTCTTCGTTTGTTCCTCTCGTTGCGGATTGCCTTGATCGTGATCAACGACCGCGAACGAGATCGTATCCGATTCATCATCTGTCGCCTCGAGCATTGTTTTGTTAAAGTTACAAGCCCACCGATTGCGACGCAATTTCGATATGGAATGAGACGACGGTGGTTGCAGGTACATCATGATCGGTCTATCGTACGTTCTCGTGGGTACGCAATCACTGTGATCTCTATTTTGTGAGAAACTTGTATGCGATCTTCGACACTGAAAGTGTTCTACACCTACGAAAATTGAAACACGTCTCTTTTTTTAGATATTTAATTTGTTTGAAAAAAATGTGTTGAGCTTAATGATAATTAATCGGCGCGTATTTAATAATCGACTTCCACCGATTAATTATTGTCACCATATATATTATGCTTGATTTATCACTTAAAGACTTTTAAAAATGTTCCAAGATTTCTTAAAAGTTATCCTAGGTTTTTTAACATTAATTCCTTCTGAAGAAATAAATATTGGATCGCAAGAGTAACAATTTTGACTACATTTGCGTTAAAGGTATGATTTTGAAAAGTTCAAAAGTGCTAAGAAGACATAAAAGAAATTTTCTGAAAATCCCAAAATTCTTTTTAGCTACAATTATACGTATAATTATGGCTAAAGATGGTTGAGTCTTTTATTGACCTGATCGGACTGAAAATTTTCGGACGCAATGTTGACACAACAAATAGCTTTCGTACGGATTTTGCTCGGAATCGTCGACACTTTCGCTGAAATTTATGTCATTGATGATAATGTGACAAATTGCGCATTCTCCAATCTGCGTATCGTCTTGTTCGTTTTTTCCTTCTTTCTCTTCGCTATTTGTATTTGTTCTTTGTACGTCTGCGCGACCTTCCTCATCTTCATTAATTTCCTCTTTTACATCCTCCGCATCATCTTCTGTAATTTCGCTTGAGAGTTCTTTTCTTTTCTGCATCCCATTCCCGTCGTTATCCGAACATTTCCATCCGGGATAAAAGTAGTTTAATTCCTACAACACAAATATTTCATCTAGATAAAATAAGTTCAACATATTAGTTGATTACTGAAATATTCGAGCGAATAAAATCATTGCAATCTAAATGTATCGCATTAATTACATACGAATTTATCATAATAAATACTTAACGTTTAGTTATTATATATATGATTACAATAATAATAAACTCATCTCGCCCAAAATAAAGATTAGTGTCTCTCCCCCTCCTCACACAACACATATACTTTACATTACAGTAATTAATCTCGTCGAATTGCATTTGACAAGATTAATCACAATTATAAAGCGATTGAAAAATCATAATATATCGTTTTCTAATCTCCAATCTAAACTTTGGCAAATTGTAAGAGCCGCTTATACGTGTCTTAGTTGTGTCCGCGATCTTGTGCGTACAGATATCACATGCCTTGCGATGATTATTTATCGTATGACCGTCGGTTTTGCCTTTATAATCAACCCTCTCGTTATCCGTTTGTTCGCGAAACATCGTTTGTCGATAGTGCTTATTGCCCCGCTTTCTGATAACCTTTCGTAGATGACGTGCTTTTCTTGGTAATGATCGGCCGATTTTCTAAGCCACAAACATCTATCCTCGTAAGACGCACATTTATAGTTTCCGGTGTCTGAAACTCAACTTGCGACAATTGTACAGAATTTATATTTTTATAAATGTTATTTTCCATAAAGTTATAGTAATTTCATCAAATGTATATATATATATATATATATATACACATACACACATATGAGATTATTTTTTAATAATTATTTTAATTATAATCGCACCACATTTTTCCGCGATTTTGTTCAATTTATCGTTATTAAATCTTAATAGTTAAAAGTCTCAAAATCTAACTGAAAGTTATTACAAAAGAAGAAGTTTTATTATCTATATTTGCTTTATTTTTAACTGTTATTTATTCGCACAAATATTCTCGCTAAGAAAACAATTCCAAATTAGCTAAACAATCTGTCATTGAATATGCTAGACACCATAATGAGCAACGATTCGCATGATCAACTTACCTAAAGAGAAATAACTATCCTTTATTAAATTATCTCTACAGAATTAAGAGGAGATATAGCGATGAGATGAATTTTTAGACTTCCAAGATAACTCGTGATGTGAAATATATTCGATAGTTTGAAGTCTTCGATAGTTGAAGTCCAATTGATGAATGTTCCCAGTTTGCTGTAATTTAGTCCAAGAGAATTTATATTCGTCAGAGCCAGAAAATGCTCGATATACGCACGGTATTTAGATCAGAAATATGTATGAGGCCATTTTGACGTTTCAAAGGAACAAAGAAGAAACAAGTACATGCATACGATATCGGTATAAGAAAATTCGAGATATCCAATTCATTATATTATTTTTTCGCAGATCTTACACTAAAATTAATTGTAAGACAAAACGATTAAAAGTCATTGATCTTTAACTTCCATGCGTTTGTATAATTGATGTGTTCCGCCGCGATATCTATCTGTTGTAGATATTCATTATTCAAGATATGTATATATATATATTTTGTATAATCACTAAATATATAAATTAAAAGTAATTGTAGGAAATAAAGCCAATAATTATGGTCAAAAAAACTGTACATCGCGTTTGTACAAAACTGCGCATCTACTTCATAAATATTTAATATAAAGTTATCACTAAATATCATATGTACTAAATTTTATATTAAATATTGTGATAGTATAATAATTATGCAAGTCCTGTAATAATAAAACAAACTGCACACAAGTATCAACTTGTTAAGAAATGTGTTTTATTAAAAAAAGCACATATTAAAAAATTGAAAAATAGTAAACGATACGATATCCATACATTGATATATCTGGTCGTTTTTAACAGTATATGTGTATGCCTAATTGCAAATGATCGCGTAAATTTGTATATTTTATTAATTTGTATTGTCTGATCTCTCTTCAATAACTACTTCTTCAATCATATTTAAGTTTATTTTTGATATAAATAAAATATTAATAGCTAAAATTCATGAGACGATTTATTCGCGACACATATATTATATAAATTAACATAGCAGCGTATACTTAAAAATTGACTGTTATTATAATTGGCAGCAAAGCTGGAAAACGATTTTCGTAACGTCTCGAAAATGTAAGAATGCGTCATTTAAATTGCGGCGCTCCCGCTTTCGCAATGTTTTATTGTATGTACATAAAACGCATGAATTCTAAACGAATAATTAATAATATGTATATATATATATATATATATATATATATATATATATATATATACACATACACACATATGAGATTATTTTTTAATAATTATTTTAATTATAATCGCACCACATTTTTCCGCGATTTTGTTCAATTTATCGTTATTAAATCTTAATAGTTAAAAGTCTCAAAATCTAACTGAAAGTTATTACAAAAGAAGAAGTTTTATTATCTATATTTGCTTTATTTTTAACTGTTATTTATTCGCACAAATATTCTCGCTAAGAAAACAATTCCAAATTAGCTAAACAATCTGTCATTGAATATGCTAGACACCATAATGAGCAACGATTCGCATGATCAACTTACCTAAAGAGAAATAACTATCCTTTATTAAATTATCTCTACAGAATTAAGAGGAGATATAGCGATGAGATGAATTTTTAGACTTCCAAGATAACTCGTGATGTGAAATATATTCGATAGTTTGAAGTCTTCGATAGTTGAAGTCCAATTGATGAATGTTCCCAGTTTGCTGTAATTTAGTCCAAGAGAATTTATATTCGTCAGAGCCAGAAAATGCTCGATATACGCACGGTATTTAGATCAGAAATATGTATGAGGCCATTTTGACGTTTCAAAGGAACAAAGAAGAAACAAGTACATGCATACGATATCGGTATAAGAAAATTCGAGATATCCAATTCATTATATTATTTTTTCGCAGATCTTACACTAAAATTAATTGTAAGACAAAACGATTAAAAGTCATTGATCTTTAACTTCCATGCGTTTGTATAATTGATGTGTTCCGCCGCGATATCTATCTGTTGTAGATATTCATTATTCAAGATATGTATATATATATTTTGTATAATCACTAAATATATAAATTAAAAGTAATTGTAGGAAATAAAGCCAATAATTATGGTCAAAAAAACTGTACATCGCGTTTGTACAAAACTGCGCATCTACTTCATAAATATTTAATATAAAGTTATCACTAAATATCATATGTACTAAATTTTATATTAAATATTGTGATAGTATAATAATTATGCAAGTCCTGTAATAATAAAACAAACTGCACACAAGTATCAACTTGTTAAGAAATGTGTTTTATTAAAAAAAGCACATATTAAAAAATTGAAAAATAGTAAACGATACGATATCCATACATTGATATATCTGGTCGTTTTTAACAGTATATGTGTATGCCTAATTGCAAATGATCGCGTAAATTTGTATATTTTATTAATTTGTATTGTCTGATCTCTCTTCAATAACTACTTCTTCAATCATATTTAAGTTTATTTTTGATATAAATAAAATATTAATAGCTAAAATTCATGAGACGATTTATTCGCGACACATATATTATATAAATTAACATAGCAGCGTATACTTAAAAATTGACTGTTATTATAATTGGCAGCAAAGCTGGAAAACGATTTTCGTAACGTCTCGAAAATGTAAGAATGCGTCATTTAAATTGCGGCGCTCCCGCTTTCGCAATGTTTTATTGTATGTACATAAAACGCATGAATTCTAAACGAATAATTAATAATTCTCTACTTACATGTTAAATGCAGAAATTGCTTATCACAAGTAATATATCTTATCGTATTGTACTTATTTCTTAATATCGTCTGTCTTCTTCGTCTCCGGATAATTGTTTACCAACTTGTCTCTCACATTCGCCAATCTTTCCGCGCTGATCGCTTGTATATTGCCTAGACGAGAATTATCAAGAAGCGACTTTAGATTTTGTTTATTATCTAAATCTATCATGCTACAACTTCTGCCTTTGATCGTCGACAACATGGATGTTGGCCCGAAAAGCGATAATAACGGTAACTCTTTAATACTTTTAGTTTTACTAGCAACCTGTTTGGGAATAGATCTTTCGTCGAGCCGTCCCACATTCTCGCTATCCGAGAATTTGGCGGACGATATTAATAGATTTTTCACCGGACTGGAATTGGCACTGCACGATGTATTCTTTTGTAAAATATTATTAGAATTAAATTGTGTTTGCAACCGTGTGATATCGTTTTGTGAGCTCGTAAGGTGCTGGCTAATGCCGGGAAATGTTATAGAACGATTCTCTGAATCGGAAGGACGGTGTCCTGATAAATTAGGCAGGAACTTGATATTGAAAGAATCTGTCATGATAGATAAATTCATAGATTGTACATGATTTGTACTGACTAAACTATCATTCATATTACTATATTTATTTCTTTTTTGTTCTTCACTTGTAACATCGACATCAAAGTTATTAGAATAATCATTGATGTTCCAGCTGCTCTGTGCTTTTTTGGTCTTAAAGTGGAATTGACAGATTCTATTTGGCACATATTTCAATATATCTGCGCTTTCCACTTTCTTGGTAATACTTCTATTCTCGAAATTCGATGTACTTCTATTCACTGGACTGCTGTTTAGCGATTTTGAAGTATTGCTCATTGACGCGACCGTCGATGTATCTTGTAACGTTATCGTCGAATTAATCATGGAGCACGATCTTTGCAAATGCAGAGATTTGCCAACGACAAATTTATTTTTCTCGAAAGTTTCTGGATCTTTGATCGATCTTGGAAATTGATTTAAACTCTGCCATATTTCGGCGGATAAGAAATTGTTCGCGATGCCGACATCAACGGCGTTCCGTAGATCCGAAAAGCTTTGCGCATCCCGTTTCCGGATAAGCAAAGAGTTTCCGACTGATAAACGATTTAATTTCTTCATACTAGCTTGCAATTCTAACTCCCATTGCGTGAAGTTGCTCTCGCTGCCGTCCACGGATCTCCTGTCAATATGTTCCGTGTTCTCCTTTGTCGAGCAGAATTCCTGTAAATTTTAGACATAGATGATAGAAATTGATAATTTCAACGCTTTATACGAGATACACAATTGCGTATTTTACTAACTTTGATATTGTCTGGTTTTTCATTGTTTTCAATTTGGTTAAATCTAATTGGGGATATTTTGCGACTGTTGAAACTGTTGAACTCGTTCTCATGCTTTTGACATGTACCTGAACCTGTTAGTTCAGCACCGACACCAGGTTCTCGCGGTCCATTAGCTACGATGTCTGAAATATAAATATGCTTTAAAAAAAAAAGACTCTGTTTATATATTTCTAAAATATATTTCAAAGTACCATAATCCCTTCGTTGCTGATGTATCTGATTACTAATGTTCTCCAACGTTCGAAGACTCGTAGCATAATTACGTTTAACTTCTTTAACGGTTTGCTGCAGATATTCCACTCTTTCTTTCTGCGTTGCTAGCATCTGATCGCATTGAGCTTTTACTTCAAAATACGGTCGTGCTTTTATTATCGCTCGTCGATGCTTTTCTTCCAATTGCAGTAGTTTCTTCTCAGCGTCGTGAAACAGCATCGCTCTTCTATGATGTTCTCGGCCGCACTCAGCTTTTTGATTTTCAGCATCCATGACCTACATAAAAGATATGTAACTTCATCATGTAGATGAAACTTTATCTCTTTGTTATTACACGCCTGTCCTCATTATAAAAATCAATCTTTGCCAAATTAATTTTAATATGGGAAAAACAAGAATAAATAAAATATTAAAATGTTTTTAATAGTTTCAAATACCTCACAATGCTTCCAAAGATAATTGAACGTGTAACGCGATTACGTATGCATGCTGTACATTCTATTCTAATGTTTACCTTCATAGTGGCATGATTGAGCATATCCTGCCATGCCTGATCGAAATTCCATTCATGCTGATGAGATATGAATCGTACTTCGGCCAGAGCAACTGTCTCTTTCGCAGCTGCGTGAATTTCGCTGGCTCTTTGAAACAGCTGTGCTTGTTGTTGACATTGGATCTGCAAATTGTACACAAGAAAATGTTTCATTGTTTCATTTATGTAATAGTTCATCTAGTTGCAATTTAAATTAAACACAATACAAAATAATTGGTATTAATTTGTAACATAAAAGATTATCATATAAAAAATAAAATGTTAGATTTGAACGATATTATATATACATATGTGAAATAAAAAAGAAATATATATAATTTAAAAAAAGTTTGAAAAATAATATACTCAAAATATAATTTGTATAAAACTGATTTACTCTCTTTCCACGTACTTATGTACATATTATATAATCTATCTCATATATATACAGGGTATCCCAGAATTCGTGGACACAGAATGCATAGCATGATTATGCATGTCAGAAGAAACAACTTTTTTCTCTGGCAAAATTGAGTCTAAACATTACTTTTTAAATGAGAGCAACTTTAAGCTAACGAATGAGCACTCTAGGTTACGCATGAATCAGGGGCGACGTGCGCACGGTGTGCGTGGCGCGTGAGCGTATACGCTATTTCACTATTTCGCTAAAGGTTTTATAAGAATTATGCATGATATCTAAATATCGCTATTTTGAATATAACTTACTTAAGAAGAAAAATGATATTAATTAGAAAACATTTTCTAATTGATATCATCGAAATAACGACTGAAAATAAAATAAGTAGATTAGATAACACGTGAATAATTTTGATCCAAAAGTATTAATATTTATCATGCATAGTTTTTATAAAATCTTTAGCGAAATAGTAAAATAGCGCACGCACACGCACGTTCGTGTCACGCACACTGTGCGCGCGCCGCCTCTGATTCATGCGTAACCTGGGATCTGCGGGTCGATTGTGTATCTTTGAAACAAAGTGAAAATTACAAAAGTGAACAGATTTACTAGATTTCGACAAATGACATCGTAGATACTCTAGTGAATTTACTCACTTTTGTAATTTTCACATCGTTTGAAGATACACAATCAACCCACTGTTCTTTATAGCTGAACTGGCTGCACTAGTTCAGAGTTTATTTTTTTCTTTCCATTGTAAGGAGAAAGATAAGCTTTAAACTAGTTCAGTCAGTTCAGCTATAAAGAAGAGGCTCCTAGAGCGCGCATTCATTAACTTAAAGTTGCTCTCATTTAAAAAGAAGTGTCCAGACGCAATTTTGCCAGAGAAAAAAGTTGCTTTCTCTGGCACAGACAATCTCACGCTGTGCATTCCATATCCTCGAATTTTGGGACATCCTGTATAATACACATGCACACATTATTGGAACAGTAAATGTTTTGATACAATTTTTAGTACACCATTTTCCAAACTTCTTTTCTTTTTATGAAATAAGAAAATTAGATTTTGACTATATTTCTACACCTGAGCTTGACGAGCCATCTCCAGTGCTTCGTAGTAACATCTTGCCTTTTCAATACAACTAGTACCAAGTTTATCAGTAATTTCTTTCAGCCTCCTTGTCGTATCAGAAAGAAGCTGTCTAAAAGCAGTGTGAGCTTCCTAAAAATAAATTAAAAATCAAACAAATATTACTAGTGTATTTTATCTAAATATATATTATTTCTCTTGTTATAAATGTGTATATATGTGTATATAATGTATGTGTATGTAATTTCGTATGTATGAACATAATTATAGATAAAATATTATTTCTCTTACATCCAATTCAGTTTCCAATTTATTTATATCATCCGTCGCATTGTTCAAATTTTCCAACTCGATCTAAAAAACACAAATCTATTTTGTAACTTGAAGTACAAAAGAGATCATATATCTGTAAATATTTAGTTTAAAATAACTCTTTTAGATTTAAAAAATACATTCAAATTTGAGAAATAAAAATTATCGCACAATGCTAAGAAAAATGTTATTAAGCGTTAAAGATAACATTTTCAAAAGTTAGAAAATTTATACTGATAAGATACTGTTGTTATAAGCATGCACTGCAATAGGAAAGTATATAAAATTTGAATAAAAATAAGTTCTTTTGCACAATTAATTTTTTTATTTATTAGATCCATGTGAAGCAAATTTCATATAACTTTATCTGTAACTGTATGTTTATTAAATAATATATTTTTTTATATTTTAACATTTATAAAATATTCTTATGTTATATATATATATATATATATATATATATATAATATAAAACATACGTATATATAATGTAAAATACACTATTGCTGTATATTTAAAAATTCATATATTATTTTGTTGTACAATGCATAAACAGATGTTCTAAAATTTTCGAAAGTGACATCTTTAACGCTTAATATCTTTTTTGTATAGCATCGAGCAATTTTTACTAAATCTTTATTTTTACACAAAAAAGAATCAATTGAGTGTATTTTTATCAAAATGTAAGAGGATTATTCGTGAACTAAATATTTATGAGCAGAGAAAGATCCCTTAGAAGTTTTATGTTAAAAGGATCTTTTCTCTGGATAAGATCTGACAAAGAAAAGAGAGATTGCATACATTGATCACACATTCATGCAAGAGATAACTGCTACCATTAAATATCGCTTACTTATAAAATAACTTTTTTCAATAGTATATTGTCACTATAGCAGTTTAAGCAATCGATTCACTCGTAATTGAGCGCATCTTATATCCGCGCAAAAGAAGGAAAGTGAAAGCAAAATAGGACAATGTACCAGGCGGTGTTAGACACTGGTATTAGATGTTCGCAAAATATAACCTAATCTGATCGCTTTACGAACATAACTCCCATAAACAGCCGGAATCAATCACGATCCAAATAAAAGATTGGAATAGTAACTCAATAATAATTACCTGTATACGCGGATCCAACGCGCCTACGCCATTCTCCGCAATGTCCATGCTTCGGCCACTTTTGCAGGCGATACTTATTGCACGAATTGAGAGTAATGTCAACTCGGGATCGCCATTACGAGTGTGAGAACGAGAGTGTATTCTATTCTACGCTTTGAATTGGCATCGATTGAACAAAGTTCAATCTTACTGTCATAAATCATATAGCGTTTTCGAATGAACGGGTTAATCCAACCCGGATCAATTAATCAGAATATTTTACTATGAATTCAAGTTTTTTATTGGCAGAGACGATGCAATGACGTCATTAATCGCTCTCAGAGCGATTAAACCTGCTACATTCGAAAACGCCAATAAATTGATGGTTGAGTTCTATGAGTCCTTAATCAAATATTTGATCACGGGCTTATATGTATTTGATCACCACATAAAAATTGAATCCAAACAAAGACTGCGTGGTAACGTGCTTGAACATGTTCGTTGTTTGTTCCCGTTCACGGGCGGCAACATACGAACATACTCCGAACTCCGAGAACAAGATTGAATTATCTCGCACCTCGCATCGAAGATTCTCCAATAATAAATTCAGTTTCAAATGACGGTCAGTGATGCCAGAACGAAGACTAGTAATTTCTCTAGTAATTCAGACGCGAATTTCGAGGATTTTTAATAGCGTTTTCGAATGTAGCAGGTTTAATTGCTCTCAGAGCGATTAATGACGTGATTGCATCGTCTCTGCCTTAGAACATATATAAATGGAAGGGGAATAGCAGGCTGAAAAGTGTCGGAAGGAAGAAAGAAAGAAAATCGTAGTTGCCTCTCTCTTGTGAATAACTACACATACAAGCATCGTGTCTGTAGATATACATACTTTTGTGTACACACACACATGTGACTAATGTAACCTTATTTTTCATTGGGCCAAACCGGTAAGCCGTGCATGCGCACTTTTGAGCAGTTACTCACAAGAGAGAGGCAACTATAATTTTCTTTTTCACTTCCTTCTGACATGTTTTTCTATCGGGAAACAAAGGCATCCCCCTTCCATTTATATATGTTCTAAGGTCTCTGCCAATAAAAGGCTTGAATTCATAGTAAAATATAGTGATTAATTAAACCGGGTTGAGTTAAGGGCCAATTTCACCAAGTCCGGTTAGATTAACCGACGGTTAAAATTAGCAGGGTAGCCAACAGAAAATAGAGGTGAAGGAAAACCAAGCATTCTTATCATTTCAGTTGGAACCCTGCTAATTTTAACCGTCGGTTAATCTAACCGGACTTGGTGAAATTGGCCCTTAACTCAACCCGGTTTAATTAATCACTATATTTTACTATGAATTCAAGCCTTTTATTGGCAGAGACCTTAGAACATATATAAATGGAAGGGGAATAGCAGGCTGAAAAGTGTCGGAAGGAAGAAAGAAAGAAAATCGTAGTTGCCTCTCTCTTGTGAGTAACTGCTCAAAAGTGCGCATGCACGGCTTACCGGTTTGGCCCAATGAAAAATAAGGTTACATTAGTCACAATGTGTGTGTGTACACAAAAGTATGTATATCTACAGACACGATGCTTGTATGTGTAGTTACTCACAAGAGAGAGGCAACTACGATTTCTTTCTCACTTCCTTCCGAGACTTTTCAGCCTGCTATTCCCCTTCCATTTATATATGTTCTAAG